TCTGCCATAATTTCCATTTTTTTTCTGCCATAATTTCCATTTTTTTTCCTGTCATAATTTCCATTTTTTTTTCTGCCATAATTTCCATTTTTTTTTTTCCTGTCATAATTTCCATTTTTTTTCCTGTCATAATTTCCATTTTTTTCCAGCTATAATTCCCATTTTTTTTCCAGCTATAATTTTCATTTTTTTTTCTGCCACAATTTCCATTTTCTTTCCTGTCATAATTCCCTTTTTTTCCTGTCATTATTTCCATTTTTCGCATAACAAAAAATCCACTTGCCACCCAGCGGAAAAATCAAAAGCAATTTTTTTCTTACCGATAACGATGCTACTCAGGAGGCCTATTCTCGACACTTGAGAATGCAATGACCGAATATTCCCTATTACTCCATTCATAATTTTTAATCCCCGAATTTTTAATCTCCACAGGAACGAGTTTGTTTGCCGTAGCAGCTCATGAATTCGGGCACTCGCTGGGTCTCGCTCACAGCTCCGTCCGTGGGGCTCTCATGTATCCCTGGTACCAAGGGATATCAGGGAATTATGAGCTTCCGGAGGACGACAGAAATGGAATTCAACAAATGTACGGTAAGTAAATAAAAAAAAAAAAAAAGAAAAACCCCAATTAAAATTCCCATCCTCATGAAAAATCAAAAACGTGCCCAAACACACCGCGCGTAACATCCAACAAGATCAGCTTTACAAACAATTCGAAATCAAATTGAATGCATTCTCAGGATTTTTATTACGCTCCATAAAAAAATACGATTTTTATTCCATTTTTAACGCACTCTCTATTCAAATAAATAACATTGACTAGAGGGAAGGGTTCGCTTTCCACTCTCATTCAGAAACATTCTGGTGCTTTTGAAATTGGCAGTCTTATCTTGACCACCACAATTGAACCTGTAAAAGAGGGAACAGTGGGATTGATACTATGGGGATGATATCAGCATTGAATGCAGGACGATTTGAATTGAGGGTAGGTAAAGTGCGTCGAGCCGGTTTTGTACTGTAAAAGCGATAGCGCACGACCAGTGGTGCAACTCGGTCGATAGTCGGACGATGGAATAAACGATTACACTATTTCCCCTATTTCGACTTTTTACGATTTTTATTCCTTCACATTATCTTTTTTTCCTAAACAATCCTAAACATCCTATATTCTATATTATAAATAATTAATATTATCATAAATAATTGATATGACTTTTTTGGATGTCTTCAAGAGTAATCGAGATAATTGAATTGTTTTGCGAGCAATCGAAGTGGTTTTATTTTATTTTTGAATATTTGGAATTTAAGAGAATATCTTTATTGTTGACGACTTAAGCCACTTTTTCACCAAGGGGTCCTGGGTTACCCTGGGGCATGAATAAAATATGAAGAATCATCCTCTGGATCCGACTCACCATCTCATGAGTGATTTACACTGTCTAGAGTCTTTGTGGCTCTCTGAAGTGGATTACACGCAGAGACTATTTAATTTCCAAAATTTTCCCGACTCTCTCATCACACATCATCTCATTAATAATAAAATTTAACCCGAGGGAATGACCCCGTGTCCCCTTGAATGAGAAATTATTTTTCATCTGCATTAAAAATATCACAGCAAAATTAAACCCAAAGAGTAAATAAATATTTATAAAGCCAGAAATTAACAATTACTCATTACTCTGACCCGACTCACTGGACAACTCGGTAATTGATGAAAGAAGATTTCCCAACGGAAAAGCTTTATACCTGAAAACTCATTGAGTCAAACGAGGTCACCTCTCCTTAATGAAACACTAAATTTACCGATCTATTTAATGAACTCATTTCACCTCTCCAGTACCAGTCTCTATCTTAATTTTAAGATTGCCGTTGAAGTTGCCATTCGTTTCTTAATTAAAATTTCAATTATGTCGATGAATTAAAAGGCCAAAATGCACTCAATAAATTCAGGAATAATACGAATAAACGGGGACCGGTCGTTTCATTTTCATTAGTTTGACTCCAAAAGGGGTAATTATTTACTCTAGCGTCAACCACTCGACTTTATCGCCCCGGTTGCTTCGTCGTTTCTCACTACCTCGAAACCACCCCTCCCAATTCTCCCATTCACCCCCTGCTAGCAACCCTGTTCCTTGGAGCAGACGTCCCCGACATTTCCGGACGATAGGGCGAAAGGTACTGCCCCAACCTCCACTTTAATTCCCCCCAAGTTGTCTTCCTGTCGTCTCTTCAACTCATTTCCTCGTTCTCCATTTTCTTCATTCACTTCCTCCATCAATTTCGCTGTTTCGCGTATTTTAAATATTATGGGGGCCTTGGATAACTGTGTTATGGGATAGAATGTATGGAATTGGGGACGACGCCGAATTACCGAATGATATCGAACAGATGTTCGTTTGGGAACATCCAAAGTTGGGAGGGAGGCAGGAAATGCGGGATAGAATGGTGCGATTAGAATAAAATTTGATGGGTTCGTAATTTGCGATGAAAGATTCAAAAGGGTGGAAAATTTTTGAGATTTCACTCAGTCAAAATGGAATTGCAGATGATTGAAGATTTTTTGGGCAAGAGAAGGATAAGTCTGTCCGGCGGAAAAGAGACTTTTCAAATAATCGACATCCAAAAATATCCCAATTATCGCATCGTCTGAAAATCCCTCGTCATTTCTCTCCCTCCAGATGATAACGTAAACCACTGGACAAGGGTTCAAGTGGGCGAATTTGAGATCAAGTTGCCGATTTCCGTGGGACTACGGTCGGTGGGATAAGTACCCTGAAACAGTTAGAGTTAGTCCAAGTGTCCACAAACCTCTGCCAAAGTCCGTGGTTTGCACTTTAGTTGCCAAAAACTGTCGGATTCCAAGGGTTTCCCCAACCCTCACTTTTACCACCCGACGGAAAGATCTACAGTACAGTAACATCTGCGATAGGACGATCGTAAAAACTCCCACCCGCATTGAGCCACATTTTCTCTCATCATCTCGAGGCAGGAATGTCTCAAAGATAGAAAACTCGTCCGATTTTTCTCACTTTTTCCACTGAACTCACTCCAGGGGGAATCCCATTATCCCTGACGTCATTCCATTCACCTCTCGCAAGCCCCTTATACCTTCTATTTCGCCATTCTGGGATCAACTTCCGTGCCTTCCAGCGACGATTTAATCCCCAGGATGATTTCATCACGGTAAAAAAAGAAAAGAGGGAGAACAGCGGGTGGAGTAAAAAAAAAAATATGTGAAGGGGAATATTCCCCTGAGGTTGCCATCCACCAGTTTCCTTGTACCAATTTTCTGGAAAACATCGTCAGCGTCACTTCATTTCCTACTTTGTCAAATTCAATTTGCCTTTATTTAGCTCGTAAAGAATGATAAATAATCGGTTGGTAAAAAATAGTCAGGTACTGCGTTATGAGCCAATCAATTATGCTGATGCAGGTGCACCGGAGGATAAGCTGTGGGCTAATTTACCAGACGCCAGGCGTCCAACTCGTCCAACAACAACCACAACGTCAACGACAACTCCACGTACTCGTTCACCAACGAGAAGACCGTGGAAAACCCGTCCAACCCGGCCGAACACTTATCCAGATGATCCTAGCCGAGACAGAACTAATCACTATCCATACAAGCCAAACTGGCGAACAGAGAGACCTGATTATTATCCACAACGACCGGAGTATCCAGATAGACCGAGGAAACCGCACAGGCATCACACGACAACAACCACCACTGTCACACCCCATCGACCAAGGCACAGATGGACACCACCACCGAGGAATGACATTCCTGACAAGTGTCACACGAGCTATGATGCCATCAGCATCATTCGGAGGGAGGTCTTCATATTCAAGGGGAGGGTATGTTATCTCGTTATCATTCTTATCAATATCATCTTTTTTATTGACTGATTTTCAGGAAAATTCGAGCCCTCAATCAATTTTCAATTTAAAATCATCGGACTTCTGCGCGGCGCGTCGCGGCAACGGAGTTGAAAAAGCGGGGTTTTCTTATTTTTGTATTTGTGAAACATATAATGATGCGATTTTAATGATTTTGAAGATTTTCGACGTTGATTGAATTTTTTAAAATTCCCCCAACCAATCTGATGATTTCAAGGCGGTTCAGGATTCCCGCGCACAGTGAATCCGGGGATTCCGCGAACGACGGCGGGTCCCACAATTATTACATTCTTCACAAATACAGAGATACGATTTCAATGAATTTTTAGATGCCGAAAATTTACGGAAGACCCAACGAAATCTCTCACATTTCTCGGGGGGAAATCAGGGGGAAATTTGAAAGGAGCGGCAACGACGATTCAAATAAATTCGTACTTTTCTCCCAACAATGTAAAGCCCGAATGGGCTTTTAGCCCCAATAAACCCCTGAATCTCTCAATAAACGAGGAGTCGATGCAATTTCAATAATGATTTTTACGTGTGCAAGTTAATTAACTGCGTCATTCACCCCGTCCCCAGTATCTCTGGAGAATAGGCGATCACGGACTTTACGAGGGCTATCCAGCCGAGATAACCCGTCTATTCAATCTACCGGAGGATATTGATCATGTGGACGCTGTGTACGAGCGACAAGACAAGAAGATTGTATTCTTCATTGGTAAGAATTACTACGTATTCAACGCTAATAAACTCGAGCCAGGGTATCCACGACCCCTGAGGACACTCGGATTACCGGATGAACTGGAGAAGATTGATGGCGCCATGGTATGGGGTCACAACAGCAGGACTTATTTCTTCAGCGGCACCATGTACTGGAGGTAATCATTATTTCATTCAACTCTCATTAAATCAAATTATCCAATTATTTTTTTCCAATCACAATAACAATTTTATATTTTAAAAATTGAAGAGCATTTCCTGCTAATTCATTTAATGGACTCATTGATTATTCCGTTATCAATTATTTATTTATTTCTAGGTACGACGACTCCGCGAATTTTATCGAGCTCGACTACCCCAGAGACATGAATATGTTTGCAGGAGTTCCTTACAACATTGATGCTGTCTTCCAGTGGAAAAACGGTGAGAATGAATTATTTAATTATTTTTAATGAAAAATTCATTCCCCTTTATCGTGAAATTCACTGATATTTCGTGAATTCATCGTTTTTTTGTGTTTTTTTTTGTTTTTTCAGGTAAAACATATTTTTTCAAGGGCAAAGGATACTGGGAATTCGACGACATGCGAATGCGAGTAGCACACGAACGTCCGAGACCCTCCGCACCCTTCTGGATGGGTTGTCCTCCCGAAATGGAGACTAATGATATCGATTACCCGTCACACCGAGCCAAAGTCATCCAGAGCTCCTCCTCAGCATCCACAATCGCACTCTCAATTATAATCAGTAGTCTCTTTGTACTTGCAATTAGAATAACGTAGGTAATTGTTTTATTTTTTTTTTTACATTTTATCGAGTGAAGACAATCCACAATGGAGACACATGTGCCTATTAAAAAAATCACACTGCCGTTGTTTCTCTTTTTTGAGAGAATGAAAAAATGTTTGAGGATAAAACTGATGATTTTTCATTGAAGGAAACAAAATTACAGGTGAAAATACGTCATGCATAATAATGTAGAAATGAAAATATGAAAAAATGGAAATATCTCGAGATCGGCTGAGTGAAATTCCCAGGGGATTTTCATATTTTTGAGGTTTTTCTTTTTGCCCTTTCAAATGAACGGCGACTTGCCCAGATCGCATCGTTGGGTACTGAGATATTTCTCGTTGAGGGAAACGAGATTTTTCTACTCAAGTTTAATTACCTCAGGGCTTAATTAAAACGAAAAAAAAAGGGGATTCCCCAGGGTTTTTCAAAAGTTTTTGTTCTCGCCATTATTCTCGAATCAAACGAGTCCATCCAAACCAACAGAACCATATAAATAATTTTTTATATGCCTCTACAAGTTTTATAACTGTACGAAACTAGAATTAGGGCACGATATGTGCATCAGTTTTATAAACTGTGATATTTATGTGAACTAAAAGAATATGGGAATAAATAATCGCTTAGGTTTACTGGTATTTATGAATAGTGAATGAGAAAGAATGGAGATGTTATTGTTTAATATCGAAATAGTCTGAGACACGATTAACGTAACAAAACTTGAATTAAAACAATTGAATGATTTTTTATATTCAATTTCCGGTGGATTTTTTTTTTCATCGGAAAATTAATTCACCGGCAATTCCTAGGGTATAAGTGGAAATTGTAATATTTTTATCACTCGAAAAAAATTAGGATAGACCCAAAATCACTGTATAAATAAATAAATAAAATGTATACGATTGTCGATTTTTCTTCATCAATTAAAATGGAAAGAGTCATTTTTACAAACACAATTTCGATTTTATTCTCGTAATGTATGTTTCACACAATTAACATTGCCTTGAATTTTTCTACATTTTTTTTTACTTCCCATAAATTTTTCGGTGATTTTTTTTTCAATTACTTCTTGTGGCGTAAATCAGGTGGTGAATATGGATCCCAGGGATTGAGAGATCTGAGCGTTGTGTGGACGATAGTGTCGACTTCAGCCATTGCCCCAACACCAGTATCACCGCACATAAGTGTCTTTGTGATGGAGCTAATCTCCTTGTATCCCCAAGACTTGAGTAGAGCCACCTAAAACCATATTTCATTATGAATTCATCAGAATTAAGCCACAGTGCTGCAACAACTGGGATTATCTGGATATTCAGGACACCCAGGGCTGTGAAAACTATTCCACGCCGTAACCGGGGAGATTTATCTTCAAATTTCAAATACAGAATGCTTTTTGCCCATTTCTTTGCGCTTATTCGTTCACCTTTATGAGGGAATTTCCTCACGGATTCTGCGGCAATGGAAATAATTGTCCCCTTGTGTCCCGATCTTCTGCAGATATTTATCAAAATTTCCCAGTCAGCTGCATTCAATTTTTCAACTCAAGTTGAAACCAATGAATAAATTAATCAACGTCCATTAAAAAAAAATGATTAAAACCAATTATTCAACTGGAATTAAAGGAGAGATATAAACCGAATTTATTAACTCGTCCCCAATAAACAGTGAGAATAATCTCACGCCTAATCCCATGAATAAACCACAAACCTGAGGTGCAGTAACGGGATGCTCCCACATTTTAGTGTTCATGGCAGGGCAGAATAGCAGTGGCTTAATAGGATCCCAGGCTCTAGCAACGCAGGTGAGTATATTATCACAAATGCCAGAAGCGAGTTTTCCCATAGTATTGGCATCTAATGGAGCAATGAGAAATAAATCAGCCCATTTGGCAAGATCAATATGAAGTACAGGATCGCCTCGATCCTGCCATGCAGCCCACTCTACAGTATCCGATAATACTGGTATATCCTGAGGAAGTTCAGCGTCCTTGAGAAAATGCTTAGCCCTCTCCGTCACCACTATTTTAATATCGATATTGTGCTCTCGTAATTTTTCACATAGCACGGGTAGTTTAATCGTTGCAACACTCCCCGTACAGCCCAGGAGTACTTTTTTTCTCGTTGCCATTGTTTAATTGCTCGATTTATTGTTCTCACGGTTTGTTCGATTAAAGCGTTATTACTCACAGATATGCAAGATTTTATTCAATTACTTCGGTCCTGAATTTCTTTTGATAAATTTTTTGATAATTTATATTTTTCTTTTCCTTTTTGTGTAGAAAAATTATATTCTTGTGGGTTGAAGGTTGAGAACAATTGGTATTGGTTTACGATTTTTCAACTGCTGCTGGTCAACAAAATTTGGCTCGAGGAATTATTCAACTGGTGTTGATATGAATTTCAGTTATTCGACAATCATTCAAAAAATTCGCTTCATAAATTTTATCAAGGGATTGAAAAAAGCAATTGGTTGAATTATTTTATTGTTCAACAGTTGAAAAAAATAGGGGTTACCTCGAAAAAATTGGTCACCCAATTTATGAATCCGCTTCAAAAAAGCCAACTATCACCCCTTAAATGCATTCACAAATATCAACATCAACAGCTCTAAACTGCTCTAAAATCCCCTACAACATCACTAATGCCCACGTATGTTAATCCTAATCTATCAACAATTGCCTACAAAAATTCAAAGCTGTGAAAGTATTCATCGGTTAAATAAATATATCAAGTATTGGTGTTGCAATTTCAAATACTCTAAATTTACAAACTCGTCGTTCGTTTAATAAATTGATTGAACGTTGTAGATCGATAATCGATGATATCGGTTACGTATTTTTAATTTTTTGCTTGTCCTGATTGTTTTCATCGTCGTGAAAACCGAGTTTAGACCATTCCTCACGGGTCATGAGGTTATTTTCCATTCTACATCCGAGATATTCCCTGGCAATCTCTCGACACTTTGTATTATCGTTTTTGTGTGTGTGAAGGCAACGCATGTATTTTATCATCGGTAATTTGCAGTAGCCCTCATGATCCAGGGGAAAACTACCCTTCTGAGGGGGTATCGGGGTGAAAATCTTCTGTGAGAATGTGTATGATGACATCACCAGCTGGTGGCACGAACATTAAAGATTCTTTTTCACTTTATTTTTTTCTTCCAACTATCGGTCGTTTCTCTTTTCCTCTTTTTATTGTCTTTTAACACTGGAACACAAGTTTATTTTTTTTATCTCAAGAGATTTCGGGGAGTTCCTGAGACACTACTGGGGAGAGAATTTATTTCGTGGAAATAATTATGGGGGAGGACTACTGCGCATGTCTGACCCAGTGAGCGTCAGCTGATGGGGTATTGGGGGCAGCACCTGCTGGGGACAATTATTTTTGGATGGAGGGAAATCTCACTGATCGACTCCTCAACGCGGGAGAATTTCAATTCAATTGGGATTGATTTCAACCGGAAATCTATCCATTTTTCAACTTCCGGTGAAAACTAATTAAACGATCCAATTTTGTTATTTTTTTTTTATTCATATTTCGAAAAATATATGAGCGCGATGTTCAACATTTTATTTGTGGCTCTCCGGTGCAAGGATCGATGTAGGTCTCCTCGGGAGGAAAATCAGGTTCTTCCTTCTTGGTGTAGCCTGCGATGAGCCTCTTCACCTGAGCGACTGCACGCCCAGGGTTGAGGCCTTTGGGACAGGTCTTCGTGCAGTTGAAAATTGTGTGACAACGGAAGACTGAGTAATAGTCTCTCATTTTTGCGAGTCTCTCCTTGTGGCTGGTGTCTCTGGAGTCGATGATCCACCTGTTGGGATGACTCGTTGTTATCTCGAATTATTGAGTTGATGAGGAAATTTGAACAATTGATTTAACCTGTACGCTTGGAGGAGGACTGCAGGGCCCAGGTATTTCTCTCCTAGCCACCAGTACGGCGGGCACGAGAAGGTGCAGCATCCGCAGAGGATGCACTCGTACAATCCGTCCAGTTTTTTCCTGTCTCTCGTACTCTGGAGGGTTTGTCTCGTGCCCGGGCCGAATCCCTTGTCGTCTCGTTTCAGGTATGGATCGATCATCTTGTACTGCTCCAGGAAGTGGCCCATGTCGGGGATCAGGTCGCGGATTACGTAGGCGTGGGGCAGGGGATAAATAATCAGAGGTTTGTCATCGGTGGATGTTTTCCTGGAGTAATCAGGGAATTCACAATTGGAAAATTTGGATTGAGAAATTCGTTTCACCCAATTTTTTTTCAACTGAATTGAAAAATTCGTTTCACCCAATTTTTTTTCAACTAAATTGAAAAATTCGTTTCACCTAATTTTTTTTAATTGGGTTGAAAGAAGTTGACTAGACAGAATTTTTAAACTGGCGTTGATGAAGACACGGTTTTTGAGAATAATTACGTGATACAGGCGAGAGTATTGACTCCATTGATATTCATAGCGCAGCTCCCGCAGATGCCCTCCCTGCAGGACCTCCTGAAGGCGAGGGTTGGATCGTGAACGGCTTTCAGATGAAAAAGGACATCCAGAACCATGGACCCACACCTGTTCAAGTCAACAGTGAAAGTCTGCATGTGAGCTTTTTTCGCGGGATTCTCCGGGTTCCACCTGTATACCCTGACTGTCTTCAACTTGGGGGGAACCTCTTCGCAGGTCTGCAGGGATAAATAAAGATGATCAATTAAAAAAATACTATTTTAAAATTCGAAAGACGAACCTTCGATGATGCATTCACACAATCATCCAACTCCTCTTGACTCTTCGTGACCGCCGCCTCCAATTTTTCATCCCCTTCACCCCATTCCGAGCCTTTTCGCCCCTTTGAGGATAAAAAACGAGGGGTAAATAGGGCCCTACGGGGGATGACTTTTAAAGGATTTAAAAACATTTTTCTGTCAAACCCTTTTTGGACGTTCAAACCTCCGAGAGGTCCCTCACTTCAGGGCATTACAAATTCATTTTTTTTTTTAATTTTTCAATTAAAAATATCGAATATCGCGAATTGTTGGTGATTCTCGTGTTGATTTAGGTTTTAAAGGGAAAAATACTTGTTTCCCAATGCAGAGTTTCGACAGAGAGATAAGTTCTGACGCTGATGACCCCTTCAGTCATTCTCGCGTGATTTTGAATTATTTTTCGTGGCCATTCAGAGGTCAGACTGATAAACACTGATAAACAAATTGTCCCCTGCGGACTCGTCGGGGTTTTCAGCGAATTGATCAGTTCTGCTTTCAACGAAGCGGCGACAACCTGTGGAAAAACGTGTTTTGGAGTCGATTTTTTTTTTCTTTTTTTATTTTGATTTGCGCGCCAGAGGAATTTCAAGGTCAACCACCACGTGGAGGTGAAGATAGAGAAGGGAATTGACCTAGTGAATTTTTCTGTCGATTTTTGAAGGTGTTTACTGAGAATTGAATGTGAACACCTGTTTTTTTTGGGGGAATCGGTTTTTTGAGAATTTTCACGGTTTTGGGAAAGTTTCGGGAACTTGCAGGTTAGATATGATTTGTTAATTGTTGGAATTTAAATTGGTTGATACATTGTTGTGAGTGATATAAAAATTTTTTTTTCATTTTTTCCGAATTATTTTTTCGGGGAAAATTGTTGATGAAAATTTGATAACGATTTTTCAGTCACAAAAAAATCATTTATCTCGGAATGTCCAACCAGAGAGTTCTGGTGATCGGAGGAGGTGGTCGAGAACATGCCATCACCTGGAAGCTGTCTCAATCCCCAAATGTGAGTGAAATTTCCTATAAAAATCCGCACTATCCCCCACAGATTCCGAGATGTTGCGACTAAACTGAAAGCATAAACTCGTCCTCTTCAGGTATCAGAGGTTTTCGTCTCGCCAGGCAACTGCGGGATGTCCTCGATCCCCAAGGTCACCCTGATCCCCCTGAACATAAAAGACAACAAAGAGGTGTCCACCTGGTGTGTGGAGAACAAGATTGACCTAGTGGTGGTGGGCCCCGAGGATTATTTAGCGAACGGCCTAGCGGATGATCTGAAAATTGAGAGAATCGCCTGTTTTGGGCCCTCAAGATCAGGGGCCCGATTGGAATCCGATAAAAAATGGTCCAAGGACTTCATGGACCGCCACGGTATTCCCACCGCCCGGTGGAGAGCCTTCCAGTGCCCCGATGAGGCAAAAAAATTCATTCTCGAGGCGGATTTTCCAGCGGTGGTGGTCAAAGCCAGTGGTTTGGCCGCAGGAAAAGGAGTTGTTGTTGGAAATGATAAAAAAGAGGCCAGCGAGGCCGTCGAGGCAATCCTCCAGGGGAAAATATTTGGAAAAGCAGGGGAAACCGTCGTAGTGGAGGAGCTCCTCGTTGGCGAAGAGGTATCTGTCCTGGTGTTCACGGATGGGAAGAGCTTCAAGGTGATGCCACCCACTCAGGATCATAAGAGGATTTTTGAGAACGATCAGGGACCCAATACTGGAGGCATGGGGGCCTACGGACCCTGCCTTATCCTTGGAGAGGCGGAGATGAGAGAGGTGGAGGAGAGGATCGTCAAACCGACTGTCCAGGGCCTCAGCAAGGATGGGGTCGACTACGTGGGGGTTCTCTATGCGGGTTTAATGATGACGAGAGAAGGTCCCCGGGTCTTAGAATTCAATTGTCGCTTCGGTGACCCTGAGACGCAGATCCTGATGACGCTGTTGAAAACGGACCTCTTCGAAATAATGAAATCGTGCTGCGAGGGGTGTCTCTCCGCACAGGACATCTCGTGGGAGGAGAACAAGTTCTCGGCGGGAGTAATTCTGGCGTCCAGAGGTTACCCTGCCTCATCCTCGAAGGGCCAAGTGATCAGGAACGTGGAGAGGGTCCTGAGAGACAGAGATACCCAGGTGTTCCACTCGGGCACATCAAAATCCCCAGAGGGAGATCTCCTGACAAACGGCGGACGAGTTCTGATGACAGTTTCACAAGCTCCAACACTGGAATTGGCAGCAGCGAGTGCAACCCGGGCTGCGAGGACGATTTCCTTCGAGGGGAAACAATTCCGGAGTGACATCGGTCACAAGGGGATTGCCAGGAGCATTCTGAGGAGTGGAAAAACGTCGTACAAGTCCTCAGGTGTTGACATTCAGGCAGGAGACGATCTGGTGTCCAGGATCAAGCCCCTGGTGGCCTCGACCCATCGCCCTGGAGCCCTGGGTGGCATCGGAGGCTTCGGGGGACTCTTCGACACGAAAACCGCTGGCTTCAAGGATCCCATCCTGGTCTCCGGCACCGATGGCGTTGGTACTAAACTCAAGGTCGCCCTGGAGATCAATAAACACGACACTGTGGGCATCGACCTGGTGGCAATGTGCGTCAACGACGTCCTGGCACACGGCGCCGAGCCCCTGTTCTTCCTCGATTACTTCGCCTGCGGTCGTCTCGATGTTTCACTGACGACAAAAGTCATCTCTGGGATCGTTGAGGGGTGTAAATTGGCTGGGTGCACCCTGGTGGGTGGTGAAACAGCAGAAATGCCAGATTTTTATCCACCAGGGGAGTATGATCTAGCGGGATTCGCTGTGGGTGCTGTCGAGAGGTCAGAGCTCCTACCCAGGACCTCGGAAATTCACCCTGGGGATGTTCTAATTGCCCTTCCATCATCTGGACTTCACTCCAATGGGTTCTCACTAGTTCGAAGGGTTCTTCAGCTCTCGGGGAATTCTCTCCAGGATCCATCACCCTTTTCTGAACAAAATCCTGGTAAGACCCTTGGGGAGGAGCTACTCGTCCCCACGAGGATTTACACCAGGTCCGTTGCACCGGTTATCAAACTCGGGGTTGTGAAGGCTTTTGCTCACATCACAGGTGGAGGACTCACTGAAAATATCCCTAGGGTCCTTCCTGAGGGTCTGGGGGTCCTCCTCGATGCTGCCTCCTGGAGGATACCTCCGGTTTTTGGGTGGCTCGCTGCAGCTGGGGGAATCTCCCAGGAGGAGATGCTGAGGACTTTCAATTGTGGAGTCGGAGGTGTCATCGTGTGTCGGAGGGAGGACCAGGAGAGGGTGCTGAAGGGGCTTGAAGAGGCCCAGGAGGTGCCCGTAGTTATTGGAGAAGTCAGGGAGCATCGGGGGGGCCAGAGGGTCATTGTGGAGAACTTTGGGAGGAGTTTGGAGGTCGACATGAGGAGGCATGTGCCTGGAATCGTCAGAAAACTCGAGGAACCCCTCAAGAAGGTGGGGGTTTTGATCTCTGGAAGTGGTACCAACCTCCAGGCACTCATTGATGCCACGAGGGATCCTCTCCAGGGGGTTGGCGCCACGATTGCAGTGGTGATATCTAATAAAGAGGGCGTGGAGGGACTACGGAGGGCGGAACGAGCTGGAATTCCCACCAGGGTGAGATTATTGAGATTGGATGATCGAATGGGAATATTTTGGTATTCTCTTGGGATTAAAAAAAAATTTTCAATTCGTCCAGGTAATAAAACACACGGAATACCCCAGTAGGGAAGCCTTCGATACTGAGATGGACGTCGTCCTCAGGGACTACGGAGTGGAGATAGTCTGTCTCGCTGGATTTATGAGGATATTGTCTGAAAAATTCGTTAAAAGGTGGAGGGGAGCTCTTCTGAATGTTCATCCAGCCCTTCTGCCTTCTTTCAAGGGCGCCCATGCCCACAGGGATGCCCTCCAAATGGGTGTCCGGGTCTCTGGGTGCACTGTGCACTTCGTGGAGGTGAGACCCAGTCAGACACCAGTCTCTGGGGATGAGAGGAATTTTTTAAGGTGTGAAAATAAATTGGTGATGATTTTCCGCAGGTGGAGATCGACTCTGGGGCCATCATCGAACAGGAGGCGGTGCCAGTACTTCCTGGGGACACTGTGGAAACCCTCCAGGAGAGGGTCAAGGTCGCTGAGCACCGGTGCTTCCCCAAGGCTCTCAAGTACATCGCCACTGGGAGAATTCACCTGAAGGACGATGGTACTCTCCACTGGAACTACTGATTCCAGGGGAAAATTAGAGTTCCAGACATTCGAAGGGAGAATCAAGAATTTATAATTTTTTTTTCCAGCAAAAATATAATTTTTCACTCGGTAATTCAAATTTTTTTTTATCCTGAGATTCGTTGAAATAAAAAAAATTATTTCAATGCGTGAAATTGAAGTTTAATTAATCCTTTGAAATAAATTTTCCACTAGTACAAAAACGATTTGACTCATGTTTCCTGAGAATCTGTAGTTGAAAAATAATTCTCGTCAATTCTTCAGGTTTTTCACTCCTGACGACAGGAGTCTTAATCCTGGAATCTTCAGAAATATAATTATTTAAAAAACGAGTTGAGAATTTCATTGTCACAATTTTTCCTTGGGTGCTATTTATTTATTTAAAATCAATCACAACGATAATCCTGATGACAAGAAACAAATCTTGAGTCGAGGTGAGACAATTTGATTCTATTCATTCTATTAATTCTATTGCATAGCTAGAAGAACTGTAAAGTACGAGGCTGAAGCTTTTGTTGCCTGAAAATAAAACGATAAATCCCCCAATAAAATAATATAAATAACTCTCACTCATTTTATAATTACTAAAATTGCAATAAATATTGGATTTACCGTAACAAACAACTCAAAAGACAGAACCAATGTTTTACCAGCTCCTAGTGTACTTGCGGTTTGACTCCTTAGGATGGCAAGTTGCACGAGATTTTGTGCCTTCAGAGGAATATTATACCATTGAAGGCTTCCTCTGAAAATTCATATCTTAATGATTGATGGATTTTTCTTTGTTTATTATCATTCTATCGTACAAACTCATCTCTATGCTGCGACTGTGATCAATCACTCTCTGAGCGAAAAAACATATGACGAAGAAACGAGACAGAACTGTAAAGACGAAAAGACCAAATTGTACACTTTCTCCAATTCGATCCAAGTGACGTGCCATCTATCAAAAATCAAAGCCCTTGTCAATAAATATTCATTGATATAATAAATAAATTGAATTTATCGAATATTCAATTTTCAAATGAAAAAAATTATAAACGAATGAATTATGACATGAGGATAAATGACATTTCACTTTCAGATTTGTTTAAATAATCGATTATAATTTCACAAAATTTTCTACGAAATCTCACCTGTAGTCCAATTATGCTAATATTTATAGCCGATACCCCCAGCAACACCATATTATTCCAGAGAAATGTATTGTCCAGTAATTTAGTGAATCTATAAATAAATTTATTACTGTTTCAATGATTAATTCGAAAAATATGATTTCATACTCAATCGCACGATTGTGGACTTGAATAAAAATCTTGAGATGATTGTACGCATTGTCATCCTCTGGTGTGTGCTGAATGTAACAACTGTAAGTGAATACACAATTAATTATTCCCGGGAATAATCTTAATTAGTCTTACCCTGATGCAGCGAATAATCCACAGACGTGTTGGGCACAGAGAAAAAAGAATAGATCGTAGGATATTATCATCATTATTAAAATAATAATGGACATCTCGATTGTTATCATGATCAGATAATAATATTTATCCACGTCGATCATGGGGTATTCCAGGGGCATGTAAAATTGGGGAATCGTTGCGTTTATTTTCAGGAGTTTGTACACTAATTTCAGTTGTAATGATTTTGATGTGAAGACTACTCCTGTTGTTAAACAGCCAGCTGAATAAATCATTGAATTTTATTAATTTCAATTAAAAAACACGTGATGACTGAAAAATTCAGTTGAAATATTGGATACTCTAAAAAATGCTCATTCTTTTTCTTTCATTTATTACCAGATTGATAAATTGAGGAATTATTTAAATAAATTCATGGTAATTCGGATAAATAATTAAATTTATTATTGATAGTACCTGAATATAAAACAGCTAATGTCTGTCCCTGATTGGAATACTGATGAAGAATTTCCCGGCCTTGTTTATCTGGTGGAAATGTTTCCCAATTTTCTCTAACTTTATTCAAAATAGCTTTCATCTAAAAATAAGAAGAATATCATCCCTTAATGAATTTAAAAGTGTTTAAAATTGATTTTTCATCGCAATATAAATTATTTCGTCCGCCTTACCTTCTCCCAATTCAAAAAATAAGTAATACCATCACAAACGAATGTGAGATCGATCAAAAAAACACTGAGCGACTCAATGACAAGTGGCATATCATTGATATAATGCCGAAGAGCCAAAAACTGAAAAAAAAAATGTTTTTAATCGCCCGGGCGAGCTGTCATTGTCAAAATTCTTTACCTGAGGTGTGACGGTTCCAAAAAATCCCATTGCGGCTAGACATCGGTATAAAAATGCCTCTTTATTGGACTGATAAGGCCACACACCCAGGGTATACGACATGAACTTCATACACCGATAATAAGACTGACTCCAGAATTCCATTCTCCAGGTTCTACCAGCACCCTCAACTTTTCGAGAACTCGATCTAGATTACCTCCACCCGGAAAACTCTATGCGAAAACTTTCTACGGAATAATAACGATAATTGCTACCTGGGGTTGCGACTGACAAAAAAATTGCTTATCATTTCCCTAGAGCTTTTTTTTATTTCTAGGAAAAAGGTAAAGGGGTAGAGTGATATATCCAAGAAAAATCCACGTCAGAACTCGAAATCCGGGGGATAAAAATATAACGCGAAAATAAAACCTCAGGAAATTTATTTTCCTGCAAAAATTGTGGCAAATATATAATGATATAATTATAACGTCATGATAATATATTCAAAATATATTTAGTATATCGTTATAGTAAATATATGGGGGTCGTTCATCCGCTGGAATTTTTGCAGGGCATGTTCGTGATTTCTGAATTTTTGAATGGAATTTCAATTTTGAATGTGAATTATTGGTGACTCTTTTTATTTTGCAGTTTCGATGAGGTATTATTAAATATTATGAAGGGCTTTGGGTGCAATGGACTTTCCAGGGGATGATTTGTACACGTGTTTTACCTGTCAGTCTTCACCCGTGATCTGACGGTTTTCACCCCTTCGGCGATTACCTGGAAAAATAAATTTAATGCTGTGGTGATGAGCAATTGTATTGTCAGGTGAAAAAAAAAAGTTTCCAGGGAGCTATTATCTTATCTGGTAAAGTACATCAATTATTCATTGGGGGCTGGAGGGGGCAGTTCATGTGGGGTCGGTGGGAATTTTTATTGCAAAGGGTCTTCCAGTTGTTGTTTGACTTCTTTCTGGGACTCGGGAATTTTTTTTTCGATGATTGGTCTCCGGGGACTCCAGGGGGTTGCCACGAAATGATGGTAATGTAATTGAAAATTATTTATTTAGTCCGTAAATTTGTTGTTTTGCCGAAAAAAAATTGTTGGATTATAAAAAAATTGCAGTTCAAATTTTCAGAAACGAGTGAACGACCGAAATTTTTCTCGGGTCGATTAAATTAATCAGATTCGATTATGTAGTGGCTTTGATATAATTTTTAATGAGTGTGATCAATGAGAGGGGCTCAGGCCCCAGGCCTTGAGGGGGTCCTACGTCCCCTGGACCCCATGAGCCCCTTTCGACCCCCCGACCATCGATTTTTCAACAATGATTTTTATTTTATTTTCTCAACTCTCGATTCATGATTCATCCGATTTTTTATATTACAAAAAAGATTTATATAGTATGTTATATTATCGCCAATGGAAATTTGACCAGCGAGTAAAAATGACACATCGCGTTTTTAAACGATTTAAATATTCCCGCCGCACGAAATCTCCCTGCGACACTGGGAGCACCAATGAGAGGAGCCCCCGCCCCCCTGGCCCCCCCGAAGGGGCGAAACTCGAGACAGTGGGGGCGGTAATGTGGCGGAGGTGTTGAAAAAGCCACAGCTGGTTTTGTTAGCATTCCACCCACAACAGTGAATTAAATCCACCAACAATTCCCCAATAATAATTCAAAAAGAAAAATAAATATTCACCCCACCCCCGACGAATTTTTCACACGCCAAACGGTAGGGCAAATAAAAAAAAAACCCCTGAATTTATGAGGTCAGGGAAATTCGAAGGTCAGCTGGGGCTTGAGGTGTCCAGTATCTCCTGGAGTGGCACGAGGTCTCAAAATTAAGGGGACTTATCTCGAGGGAGGGGTAGGATATTCAAGTGATTATTTTTAATCCTCTCGAGTCATGGCTGAACTTTTTCATTTTGAACTGCACGATTGTGACACGGTGGTGAGAGATGAGTCCGATGACGATGTCATTGAAATTGGAGAGGTGAGATTATTCATTATATTTTCCTGAGACCTTGAAAGCGCTCTGAGAGGAATTCACATTGATTTTTTGGATTTATCTTGCAGGAAGAGTACGACTCGAATCCGAACGTCAATGAAATCATCGAGTGAGTGATTTTGTTGTTTTTTTTTGTTGAGGGGGGTGGCTCCAGTGTTTTGAGGTATTTTTATGATCGTATTTTGTTGAAGGACGGATGGATGCGAAACTGTTGCCATTTCCGAGCAAAATGTCAACCGTGGGAGGGAAAGGGCTGGACCCCAGGACTTTGAATTGTGCAAAGTCATTGGTAAGGGAGGATATGGAAAGGTTTTTCAGGTGAAAAAACTCACTGGCCACGACGTTGGCACTTATTTCGCGATGAAGGTGAGTATTCAGGGGTTTGTCCTGGCATTTCATCATTAGGATGATTTTAACCTAAAAAAATAATCGAGATAATCAAAGAATTATCTCTCTCTCATTTCTACACAATATTTCTGTAAATTCTCCTGGAACAGAAATCATGTAGAAATTATGAAAACTCATTTGTGATTTATTAATAGTATCAATTAATATTCATAATTTTGTAGAATTATTCACTCGTCCTCGCTGCGTCCTGTCATATTACCCATTCATTTGCAATTCATTGAATTAATTGTAATGCATTCTCAAATTCAATTCAGAAATACAGAGAGAACAATAAAATTTTCCTGAATTCTTATCGTCTGGTTCTTCAAACGATTTTTTAATGGGATAAACGAACTTATAATTGCCCCGTTCCTCTGCAGAAAGATCAGAAATGGTCATCGTGTAAATTTTATTCGTATTCTATTCTTATAACCATGAAATTCTTTTCCATCGTTGAGACACAATGGAGTCGGTCACGACTGCATAGGAGAGGCCATGGCGATAAAAATAGGTCAATGATCGGCCTCAATCAACGAAAAAATTGATTGGCCCTAGATTACCGTGAAATGTTTTCTCCTAGAATTAAAAATACACGAGGAAATCACGTGGTTACGTAAATTCATCGTATGCGTTATTTTTTCCTCCATCTGCTAATGAATATGAATTCCACTGAAGTACTTCTGTGACGTATGAACAGTTTCATCGGCTTCCACGCGACTTTCTATCATTTTTTTTCTCATGATTATCATGGATCCTCTTCAATAATTCCCAGGTACTCCGCAAAGCGTCGATAATTCGCAACCAGAAAGACACAGCGCACACAAAAGCCGAGAGAAATATCTTGGAGGCTGTTAAGCATCCCTTCATCGTCGACCTGATGTACGCATTCCAGACAAAAGAAAAGCTCTACCTCATTCTGGAGTACATGTCTGGGGGTGAGCTATTTCACCAGCTGAATCTCGAGGGTCTCTTCCTGGAGGATCCCGTGTGCTTCTACCTGTCGGAGATTATTCTGGCGCTTCAGCATCTCCATCAGCAGGGAATCATTTATCGAGATCTCAAGCCGGAGAATATTCTTCTGGATGCTGAGGGCCACATTAAATTGACTGATTTTGGTCTGTGCAAGGAGCACATCCAAGACGGCACTGTTACTCACACATTTTGCGGAACTATCGAGTACATGGCACCTGAAATTCTTACAAGAAGTGGACATGGAAAGGCTGTGGACTGGTGGAGTCTTGGGACTCTCATGTATGACATGTTGACAGGTGCTCCACCGTTTACCTCTGATAACCGGAGGAAAACCATTGAAAAAATTCTCAAGGGCAAGTTGACCTTGCCTCCCTATTTAACCCCCGACGCCAGGGATCTCATAAGGAAACTCCTGAAGAGACAAGTCCATCAGAGACTAGGATCTGCCCCCTCGGACGCTGAACAGATAAAAAATCACGTGTTCTTCAGGCATATCAACTGGAATGATGTCATCTCCAGAAAGCTAGAGCCACCGTTCAGACCAAAATTGACAAGTGCTGATGATGTCTCCCAGTTTGACAAAAAATTCACCAGCTCAGCACCCATTGATTCACCCCCTGACTGCACACTCAGTGAAAGTGCTAATCGCCTCTTTCAGGTGATAATTCGAGATTTTTTTTTATGATGAACATAATTCTTCATTGATCGTCATTGATGGCGAAAAAAATGAAAGGATGAATGGATTTTGAATTTTTATTCCAGGGATTTACTTATGTAGCACCGAGTGTTCTGGAAAACATGTATCAACCTCATGTGGTCCACGCCAGGAGCCCCCGCAGGAGTCACCTCAAGAGTTTTTCCCCACGTGCTAATCATTTCCACCATCACCACAGGTAATTGAATTACCGAGAAGCCCTTTATCCAGAAAACTCGAGTTTTTCCTATTAAAAATTCAATGGAAATGAAAAATAATAAATAAAAAATTGATTTTATTATTTCAGACACAACGGAATTGGTCACAACAGCATAGAAGACGCCGAGATGATTATAGGTTAATAATCACCCCTAATTAACGAAAAAATTGATTAGCTCTAGATAACCATGAACTCTTTATAATTTTATCCCGAAGAATCAGTCGAGTTTCCACGATCCTTCGATCTCAGGGAAGGATAAACATAATTAATTCCATAAATCCCCTTGATTACCAATTTTTCATTGAAGAATGTAGAAGAAAATAATCCCATTACTGACGTTCAAACATTTTTTAAATTAAATAAAACAAACTGGTGGAGGAGCATTACGTGGAACTGCACTCGACGATTCTGGGAGTTAGCGAATTTTTTCTCGTATAAATAATATTTTCTTCTTTATATTGATTAATATTAATCGCGAAGCAATTTTATGATTAATTAACGTTTGTTCATCGATTGCTGATACCTCCGAATGAGTCAGAATTTTCCCAAAAATATGATAATAACGAGAGGAAAATTGAAATTCGAGACGAAGATTTTTATTGAGAAAATACTGAAGGCTGATTTCATATGAATAAGAGCTCCTTAATGCAATCATTGGTTGTTTTAATTGAATGATGGGGAGAATAGTCATCGATGAGGAATTAATGAGAAAATATATTAATTTGATGTGACGAGGAAAATATCGAAGGGATGATTTTTCTCTGTGTACATTTTTTTGGTTTTCATTGATTAATTGATCAACGATTTGATCAATTATTGGAATAATTGACGACAACTATGTGTAATCGACCATTTAAACTCGAAAACTGCCCAAGTGTTCATGGATTAATCATCGAAAGATGAGAATCCCCCGAATTTTGTTCATTTTGTATCGAAATAGCGAGAGAATCTGATGAACAGCTGTTCAATTCCTTAATTTAAAATTGGTAATTGATACGATACAACACCTCCAACGTAATATTAATGAATAATTGATAAATCATGAATTCACCCAGTGACTGAACAATTATTAATTTTTTTTTTCTTCCATTGATAAAATCGACAGCGAATTTTCAGTTTTATTTCTAGAATTTTTACTTTATTTTAATTAAACAATGAATTAATGAATTATTCATTTCTACAATTATTGGTGATCGGTCACTGGATAAATAACAAATAGGAGGAATATGTTGTGAGTAAATGAATAATTAAAAATCATTAACTTATTACCGTATATTCGATTTAAAATTAATTGATAAGTGGAGGGAATTTAATGATAATTGATGATTTCGTTTTATAAGGGGAACCATAAGTTAATTCACACACTTTTGTAATGAAAAAAAAATTGTGCTTAATGAGGTGACGCTGGGAGATATTTCGAGAGCCATCGAGACGATTATTTCGTATATAAAAAATTGATTTTGCGATTTTGTGGGGACTTTTGATGTTCTCTTCGGGGTTTTCCGTTATTTTTAAGTGAAAACGACTTACTGATGGCTCTTTTGAGTTACTACCTGCGGTATTTAGGTGAAATTCTGTAAAAAAATATATCTGTGGTTGGATTTTATGGAGATCTGACGCTACGAATTTACAGAAGGGAAAAGACCGATTTTGGTGATTGTTTAATAAATTGTTTAGACCCCTCTCCATTTTATCCAATCGCAGAAAAATTAGACAGACGAGGTGGGCTAACCGTAATTACCATTTTAGATCGTAATTTAGCGAAGAAGATGATAATACGAAATGATAAAATAAAAAACTATTAATAAAAGAAAAATTCCCCGAGGCTTCTCTGATTAACAAAACCATCGAATTAACATTCATTTAGTCAAATAATTATTTAATTAACGAATTATTGGTGTGAGGAAATAACAATAAAAACCATTGCCATTTTTAAGTTAAGATTAATCAAGATATAATTAGAATCGGTTAATCAGGATTTTAATTGCGTGGGAAACAATAATTAATGGCAATTTATTGATGCACTGCCAAGAATTGCATTGGATATTATTTTAATTGATCCACGATTTCATGACAAATTGCATTATTTGTGGAATAATGATAATTAGTCAAGAGATTTTTTTCCTCGAATAATTCAGTGAATAAAAAATCATTCTAGAGGCAATAAAAATATTATAATAAACAATTCTATTTATTCTGAGACATGAAATTTGATGAAACGTTTCATAAAACACAAGTGACTTATATGCTTCCAATTATTAATAATAATTAATCATTTTTTTTAGCTTCTAGAGGAGAAAAAATTGAGAAAAATAATTAAAACAAATGGAGGACAATTTTTAATCGTTAAAAATATTGAGAGACTGGAGATAAGAGCTGTTTCATCAATCCAAAAATTATGTTCACCGTATCTGATCGATAAATAATCAATTGTTTATAGTTACCACTGGAATCACTGGATATTCAACTATAAAATACGAAAACTTGATATAAATATTTTTAAAAATAGTTGACAATTGATTTGATGTGCCCCAAAAATCCTCCCACACATATGAGTGTAGACAGAATTATTTTAAATAAAATACGATGCGATGTGTAACGTAAAAACAATTGTACCAATTTTTTAATCATTCATTAAATTCTCCCTGTAATCACGAGAAAGCCGAATTTCATTTGGAATAAAAAAAAAATGGAATGAATAATAAGACAAAGGTGAAAAAATTGGTAAATATTATTCTAACGACACGTACGTTTTATTTATTCTATATACAGAAGAAAAAAAGAATCGGATTGAGATGACACCGCGCTATGATCAATTGTTCTTCTCTTATTTGGTTTTTTTCATAGAAAAAAAATGCAAAGTAATTTCTATTCGTAGATGTCCTCCTTGTCGGCGATGTAGCGTACAATGTCCCCGGGTTTCATGAGTTTTTCAGCGTCTACGTCGGGTATTTCGAAGCCAAAGTCATCCTCGATGGCCATGATGACCTCCACGTGGTCCAGAGAGTCGAGACCCAGATCATTCAAAAAGTGAGACTCAAGTGACAACTGAATAAAAATTTATTCATCACAAAATAATAATTGCGCGAGAAGATTTTATAAATCCCTGATTTTGGGACCATTTCGCTCCTTCGGTCCCATTTTCACTGATAATATGGAAATGGAATTTATTTATAACTATGTCAATAAGTCAATGGAGCAAAATGGAATTGATCGTTTTAGATCCCGTTCCCTAGAGAATCGCGGAAATAATCGATTTTAAAATCGATAATTTCTTGAATTTCTCGAGAATTGAGTGAAATAATTGAGGGATTACTACGAATAATTGAAATAAGAGCCACGAGTCAATACCTTATTGGGATCGACTTTGTCATAGAGTTTGAGAACCAAGAGTACCCGTTCACGAATTATATCGAGTGTCAATGGTTGTTTACCACAGTAGAAACGTGTCAGCTCGACTCGTGGCCCCTGCACATAAAAAATACAAGATTTTTTGGCTTTTCTCTCGTAAGATTAATCACCTTATCAGCTGATATCTTGTCGTATGCTGCCACTACTTTCAATACTCTCTCCTCGATTTCATTGCAAGTTAGTTTCTTCTTTGGTGGCCAGCAGTGTCTCACTGTTATTGCCTGAATTTAGCGAGAAGTGAAAATAATTTAATGGGACACTGCAAAAATACGGAGAAACCATAGCAGCTTAAGACAATAAATTTTTAAAACAAATATATCGCCTGCAAATAAAGTTTTCGGGGATGACAATAAATAATTTTTCATTCACACGATAAAAAATCCAGATAAATTGTTTTATAATTGGAATTAAAGCTGGAATACAATAAAAAATTGAAAAGATGAAATTAAATGACAACTAAAAAATTGAAAAACGACTTTAAATAATTATAATATCCCCCGCACTGGTTCGAAATCGGCGAATATAAAAAAATTTGAAAAGCCCTGTTAATCAGGAGTTATATAAGACCGAGATAATTTAATAAAGATAAAAGAATCTTAAAAACAAAAACGAAAAAATACCTGAACATTGTTGGAAGGGAGTAGTCCCTTGGATCCCCTGAAATTCGAGTGAATAATTCTGGATCCACAGGCGAAAGGCAAAAGCCCCTGAGCCCTGAAACCGGTGGAATTGATTCCCCTGATGCACCCGGTGCCCCTCGACAGCAGTCGAACACCAGTTAATGACGCCATTTCATTAATTACTCACTCGATTAATCTAGAGTATTAAAGAATAAAGTCAATGGGTTTGTCGAGAGGTTTTGAGTTTTTATCGATTTTTATACTCACCGAGAGGTTAAGGGAGAATTAACAAGATCAAATGCTGAGACGATGAGCTTGAGGTAGAGGTTCAATCCCCAGAGCAAAGAGAATTGAGTAAAGTAGAGGCTCAGTTCTGGGGGTTTGAGAGACCCCAGCAGCATCGTAGTACTACACCCCATGAAAGGGAGGGCGCTACATGCAATGCTGGGGTGTTTTTTTTTTTAAACAAAGTTTTTATTGCAATGCTGGGGTGTCCATCGAGTCGGCGGGGTGAATTTCATTGTCTGCGGTATGAATGCTCTTTGTTTTTTAATTGTTTAACTGAAATTTAGCCGACTATAACGAGCGGAAGGGGGAAGCCACATCTTGTGGAATTTTGAATGAAAAAAATTATTCAATATGTAGCATATATACCCCTATTGAAATAAATTATTATAATGAGCGCGGTGGCCTATCGGTAACGTGCTCGGCTAGCACGCCGACGGCCCGGGTTCAATCCCGCCGTCATTCATTTTTTTTTTTTAATGATTCCAATTTTTTCTGTAG